TCACTGAATTAATAATAGCCACAATAACCATATCAAAAGCTGACTCTTAAATCACATTGACAAAAATACACCATATATTTACTTAAAGCAAAAACAGCATCTAAGTCTATAAAAGAAAAAAGTCTTTGTCCAAAGTAGGAGAACAGATGCTTGGGGATAGCCTTATTAACTTTCCAAGGTGGCACGTGTGGGTATGGGAGTGTCATAAGTCAGTCGCGATTGTCCCCAGTGGCTTCCTTTAAGAAATACCGGTTCCTGGAGCGACCCCCAGCGGTTTTTATGAAGTTTGAATTTGGAGAATTGTTTACCGTAGAGTTTTATTTTTTCCAGCAAAAATAGAATTGCCAGTGCAGACTACATGGCTTTGTATGACTAACCATCCTGTGTGATATGGATTGTTAGCATCACGCAGCTAGTTCTTGACACACTCTGTACTCCCCTTCATATAGTCTAGGGCAGCTAGTTCTTGACACACTCTGTACTCCCCTTCATATAGACTAGGGCAGCTAGTTCTTGACACACACTGTACTCCCCTTCATATAGACTAGGGCAGCTAGTTCTTGACACACTCTGTACTCCCCTTCATATAGACTAGGGCAGCTAGTTCTTGACACACTCTGTACTCCCCTTCATATAGTCTAGGGCAGCTAGTTCTTGACACACACTGTACTCCCCTTCATATAGACTAGGGCAGCTAGTTCTTGACACACACGGTACTCCCCTTCGTATAGTCTAGGGCAGCTAGTTCTTGACACACACTGTACTCCCCTTCATATAGACTAGGGCAGCTAGTTCTTGACACACACGGTACTCCCCTTCATATAGTCTAGGGCAGCTAGTTCTTGACACACACGGTACTCCCCTTCATATAGTCTAGGGCAGCTAGTTCTTGACACACACTGTACTCCCCTTCATATAGTCTAGGGCAGCTAGTTCTTGACACACACTGTACTCCCCTTCATATAGTCTAGGGCAGCTAGTTCTTGACACACACTGTACTTCCCTTCATATAGTCTAGGGCAGCTAGTTCTTGACACACACTGTACTTCCCTTCATATAGTCTAGGACAGCTGCACAAATGCAGATGTATCTAAATGTATTACTAAATTATGTTATGATAACAATTATAATGACACAGACATTGCAGCTGATGAAGTTGAATTAGACATGGGGGGGGGGGTGGTATTCACATCCCTGTTGTCAAGACTATATTGATCCAAACACTCAAGCTCAATAGGAGAGAGATTACTGACTCTCAGCGGTCTGAAAACGCCAATATAAAAAGCTGTTTCGGTTCAGATCGGAAACCTATGTTTATGGGCAGCACAAAACATCAACCAAACTGTGCCAGGATCAGGTTAGGCTACAGTGAGAATATGATCACCACACACCTACCTAACTGTGGTGTGGTCACTGTCACACACCTGCCACAGTGAGGCAGGTGTGTGTGTGTGTCTCTCTCATTAGATAGGTTCTACTCCGTGGCTAGTCTTGCATGCTGTATAATCAGTATCAATCGGAAGTGTTATTTCCTGCAATCGCTTAATGTTTAAGGGATAGTTGTTACTGTTGAGGTAAGTATACTCATCTGCTAATTACAGTATGGTTGTGGTGAGTATACTCACCTGCCACTGACAGTATGGTGATGTTGTGGTGAGTATACTCACCTGCCACTGACAGTATGGTGATGTTGTGGTGAGTATACTCACCTGCCACTGACAGTATGGTGGTGTTGTGGTGAGTATACTCACCTGCCACTGACAGTATGGTGATGTTGTGGTGAGTATACTCACCTGCCACTGACAGTATGGTGATGTTGTGGTGAGTATACTCACCTGCCACTGACAGTATGGTGGTGTTGTGGTGAGTATACTCACCTGCCACTGACAGTATGGTGATGTTGTGGTGAGTATACTCACCTGCCACTGACAGTATGGTGGTGTTGAGGTGAGTATACTCACCTCCCACTGACAGTATGGTGGTGTTGTGGTGAGTATACTCACCTGCCACTGACAGTATGGTCGTGTTGAGGTGAGTATACTCACCTGCTACTGACAGTATGGTTGTGGTGAGTATACTCACCAGCCACTGACAGTATGGTTGTATTGTGGTGAGTATACTCACCAGCCACTGACAGTATGGTTGTATTGTGGTGAGTATACTCACCAGCCACTGACAGTATGGTTGTATTGTGGTGAGTATACTCACCAGCCACTGACAGTATGGTTGTATTGTGGTGAGTATACTCACCAGCCACTGACAGTATGGTGGTGGTATGCTCACCTCAACACTCAATAGCTTAACATCATTAGTTATATTAGTGGAATTAGTATTATTAGTGACAGTGCAAGAAACTAAATTACCATCAGTAGTAGAACTGTTAATTTGTATCCGATTCGTTAATACTAACTAACCGAATTATTAACCTTATCAGCCGAATCATCAATTTAGTATCCAGAAATTTTATCATCTAAATCATTTTTCTAATTTTAAGTAAAGTCTGGCTAAAGATACACCTTAGATTTGTAAACTTTTAATACAGAACGAAGAAACAGTGAAAAATATACATTCTACATCAACCAACTCCTGGAATAATTCATAATTATTTTCATTTTTAAGTATACATTTTAAGCAAAGAGATATAATAAATATAATTTGGAGTGAGAATACAACTATACACCAGGGTTATACAACTATACAACCAGGAATACAACTATATCAATACACCAGGGATTGACAACGATAGTGGCTTAACTACATAACTAGAGTAGTCAAACTACTAACTACATTAGTCAAGGTAAACTGAGACTCGTTATTGCTTGTAGACGGCAAGTTCATGTACTAGGCTAGTTTAGTTGCTAGGCTAGTTAATTACTAGGCTAGGGTAATCAACAAGCTAGTTACCGCGCTAGTTTAGTTACCAGGCTACTTAAATTATCAGTCTAGTTGAGTTACTAGGTTAGGTTTATTACTAGGTTAGTTTAGTTAGCAAAGCAGTCTACTTACCAGGCTAGTTCAGTAACTTACCAAATCTAGTTACTAAGCTACCTTGGTTACTAGGCTGTTTTAGTTACTAGGCAAGTTTAGTTACTAACCTGGTTAAATAACTAATCTAACCATAGTTACTCACTACCTTAGTTACAGGGCCAGTTTAGTTACGAGGGTAGACTAGTTACCAGACTAGTTACCAGACTTATCGAGTCACCAAAGACCAGGAGAAGGATCCTACAGTAAATATGGTCCCTCGCCTGTAGGCCTGGTGCCCGCCTGTAGGCCTGGTGCCCGCCTGTAGGCCTGGTGCCCGCCTGTAGGCCTGGTGCCCGCCTGTAGGCCTGGTGCCCGCCTGTAGGCCTGGTGCCCGCCTGTAGGCCTGGTGCCCGCCTGTAGGCCTGGTGCCCGCTTGTAGGCCTGGTGCCCGCTTGTAGGCCTGGTGCCCGCTTGTAGGCCTGGTGCCCGCTTGTAGGCCTGGTGCCCGCCTGTAGGCCTGGTGCCCGCCTGTAGGCCTGGTGCCCGCCTGTAGGCCTGGTGCCCGCCTGTAGGCCTGGTGCCCGCCTGTAGGCCTGGTGCCCGCTTGTAGGCCTGGTGCCCGCCTGTAGGCCTGGTGCCCGCCTGTAGGCCTGGTGCCCGCTTGTAGGCCTGGTGCCCGCCTGTAGGCCTGGTGCCCGCCTGTAGGCCTGGTGCCCGCCTGTAGGCCTGGTGCCCGCCTGTAGGCCTGGTGCCCGCCTGTAGGCCTGGTGCCCGCCTGTAGGCCTGGTGCCCGCCTGTAGGCCTGGTGCCGAGGGGTCAAGGTCACCAGTGCTATCCTCGAAGTCGTCTCACTGTGTGGCGTATATAATATACTTAAGATATTAGTGTTGTATAATACTGATCCCCCTGTGTGTGTGTGTGTGTGTGTGTGTGTGTGTGTGTGTGTGTGTGTGTGTGTGTGTGTGTGTGTGTGTGTGTGTGTGTGTGGGTGTGTGAGTGTGTGTGTGTGTGTGTGTGTGTGTGTGTGTGTGTGTGTGTGTGTGTGTGTGTGTGTGTGTGTGTGTGTGTGTGTGTGTGTGTGTGTGTGTGTGTGTGTGTGTGTGTGTGTGTGTGTGTGTGTGTGTGTGTGTGTGTGTGTGTGTGTGTGTGTGTGTGTGTGTGTGTGTGTGTGTGTTTATGCTTTGAACTCAGATTTGGTATAGTTTACGATTTATAGTGTTGAAGCTGTATTGTTCAGTACGTGGAGACCAAACACTGTTCAGGCTTACTTGGCAAATAAACACGCAGTTAATACAGAATGACGCCATCCCCACGGGCCGGCCGACGCCTCGTGTACTACGTCACGCATCATAACAATCAATTAGGAAACTATATTTGTGTCCTATCACTTATTATAAATTATATAACTATAAGAAATTAAATAATTCCTAAATGAATTACTTCAATTTACATCGGTAATTGGAATTTATAAACAGAGCCTTGATGACCAATTTATACATAAAAAAACGGAGAAACGATGACGTTATGGTCCGTCCTGGATCATTATCATGCCGAGTGATGGTCACTCGGCATGATAATGATCTGATCATCATATCTTCACCCCACGTTACTGTGACTCATCGTCTGCAGATAGAGCCTTAAACCCCTCAATGAGTAGATAACACACTAAGAGTTTTCTCCTTGTCTCAGGAGGTGGAGCTACGACGCGCCGACACCAAGGGTTATCTTGAGGTTATCTTGAGATGATTTCGGGGCTTTTAGTGTCCCCGCGGCCCGGTCCTCGACCAGGCCTCCACCCCCAGGAAGCAGCCCGTGACAGCTGACTAACACCCAGGTACCTATTTTACTGCTAGGTAACAGGGGCATAGGGTGAAAGAAACTCTGCCCATTGTTTCTCGCCGGCGCCTGGGATCGAACCCAGGACCACAGGATCACAAGTCCAGTGTGCTGTCCGCTCGGCCGACCGGCTCCTTACACAGACCAATTGGGGGGGGGGGGTAGAAATAGCCTAAGCTACTCTATCCCTTTGAGATGTATATCTTTCTTGTCTCAGTAAACATACTTGAACTTGTACACGGATCAAGACAGCCACTAAGAAGTGACGTGGTCATCACACACATCCTAAATATTGTTCTGCCTGTCGTTCAAAACTTCTCAATTTCTAAATCAAGTTGTTTCCGCCTCACATTTCAACCATAGATGAGTTATAACCCTTCACCTTCCTCATGTTGTGCCCGTGAGAGATATATTGGTGAGGGACATGTGGGGTCACATGACACAGGTCACAATGTGGGGTCAGGTGACACAGGTCACAATGTTGGGTCACATGACACAGGTCACAATGTGGGGTCAGGTGACACAGGTCCCAATGTGGGGTCACATGACACAGATCACAATGTGGGGTCCACACGACACAGGTCACAATGTGGGGTCAGGTGACAGGTCACAATGTGGGGTCACATGACACAGGTCACAATGTGGGGTCACATGATACAGGTCACAATGTGGGGTCACGTGACACAGGTCACAATGTGGGGTCACATGACACAGATCACAATGTGGGGAGGTCCACACGACACAGGTCACAATGTGGGGTCAGGTGACAGGTCACAATGTGGGGTCACATGACACAGGTCACAATGTGGGGTCACATGACACAGGTCACAATGTGGGGTCACATGACACAGGTCACAATGTGGGGTCAGGTGACACAGGTCACAATGTGGGGTCACGTGACACAGGTCACAATGTGGGGTCAGGTGACAGGTCACAATGTGGGGTCAGGTGACACAGGTCACAATGTGGGGTCACATGACAGGTCACAATGTGGGGTCAGGTGACACAGGTCCCAATGTGGGGTCACATGACACAGATCACAATGTGGGGTCACATGACACAGATCACAATGTGGGGTCCACACGACACAGGTCACAATGTGGGGTCACATGACACAGATCACAATGTGGGGTCCACACGACACAGGTCACAATGTGGGGTCACACGACACAGGTCACAATGTGGGGTCACATGACACAGGTCACAATGTGGGGTCACATGACACAGGTCACAATGTGGGGTCACGTGACACAGGTCACAATGTGGGGTCACATGACACAGGTCACAATGTGGGGTCACACGACACAGGTCACAATGTGGGGTCACATGACACAGGTCACAATGTGGGGTCACACGACACAGGTCACAATGTGGGGTCACATGACACAGGTCACAATGTGGGGTCACACGACACAGGTCACAATGTGGGGTCACATGACACAGGTCACAATGTGGGGTCACATGACACAGATCACAATGTGGGGTCACATGACAGGTCACAATGTGGGGTCAGGTGACACAGGTCCCAATGTGGGGTCACATGACACAGGTCCCAATGTGGGGTCACATGACACAGATCACAATGTGGGGTCCACACGACACAGGTCACAATGTGGGGTCACATGACACAGGTCACAAGGTATGACAACATCAAAATCTTCCGTAACATTAAACGATCTCCACTCACATAATTATTCATGTAAGATAATTTAGTGAAAAAATCTAAATTTAATCTAGTAAGTGACTTTGCCGGCAGGAAAGTGTTGATCCAGCAAGTTGTGGCACCAGGCGGACACTGTGCAGCCGTAGTGTTGATCACGTGTTGACGTCTGCGTACTCTACCTGTCAACTAAGCTCTTAAGTTATAAATTACTAACTATAGTTTAGACGGTCAAGTGACCAAATATATAAATTAAGCAAATTTAAATAGAAACAAACTCTGGTTTATCCAGGGTAATACATGTAATATCTAAATCAAAATCTGAGCCTCGGCTCAACAACAAGCTGGTCGGTCTATATATTAATTAATTAATTAATTAAATTTAACTAACCCGATTTAATTTGTGCGAAAACTAAACAAAATATAATTCTTCATATAGTCCACTCTATATTAATTAAACAAACAATAATAATTTTCCCACAATGCTTCGCTCACGTTCTCTCTTTGAATTGAACTTTTCACATTCTTTACCCACGTACTGCAAATACAAACATATGCCAACCGAACGTAAATAAAAAACCAAACTTAACTTAGACCTAACCTAACCTAACCTAACTAGACCTAACCTAGACCTGACCTAACCTAGACCTAACCTAACATAAACGAGACTTAACTATACACAAAATTATAATATATATAATGACATTAAATATATGAGAAAATTACTGATTTTGAATAAGCATAACAATAAAAGCGACGAATGCGTCTTTTGAGGGGTCGGCCAGAGCTTGGACGAGCTCTGGCCTAACAACCTGAGGACAGACGAGCTTTAACAACCTCGGGACAGGTTGTTAAAAGGGGGCGGAATAGCCGGCTGATTCACCAGCATTTGGATAATGTTCAAGAAGACAATTAACTTGAATCTTAATTCAAATTCTTCCGTCGTCCTCTGAGTAAGGATGAAGCGACGGAGATCACGCCCATGACTCGAGCATCACCACACAAGGATCACCACACAAGGATCACCACACAAGGAT